ACACAAAGGAAGAGAAGAAAGTAGAAATGCATAATATAGACAGTAAACAGAGGTGTGAGACAAAGGAATAGTAATAACGGAGAACAAAACAGTTTCATTGAAAATCATAAGTCACAAGGAGTGGATGCATCTGCTCCAGCCATTGAGAACGATTTTGAGCCATGTCACCGATTGTTTCCAACCATTGGTTTTTACCGTCCCGAGGACCCCAACCAGGAAGTCTACATCTTCCTACGTGGCTTAGACTAACTGTTGTGGATTTCATTGACTGGTGCCATGTTTTCGTTTGACCGCCGCTAGCTCTTTTCCAGCCTGGCCCTATATCAGCTAACATTGCCCGTCGAGGAAGGCGATGACTAGGCATACGTAGCACATGTCCTCCCGACCGAAAGCTGCTACCTTGACGTGGTGGTCGGGCTTGCATATCGCAATGACCCAACGAGCTACACTGGCTGGAACTTAAGTTCCTGTAGGTCCTACCATACCAGAAAGGTTGTTTGGATAGCGGTTAGACAAAAAGCAGTTACCCAATCCAATGCCATGACTCAAACAAAATCACAAAATATCATTCCGGATCGGTCGGGGCCCGGATTAACAACGACCGCGCTTTCTGCTGCCGTGTCACAGGGCAGAAGTGATAAATACGCTACTGAGACACACCAAATGAAAAACAACAAACAAAAACAGGCCGTGTGTGACCGGTCTCAAGCAGTTGTCCCCTGGGCTCTGCGGTCACGCAACCAACTTCCACGGTGTGGGCAGCCGGGAAGTAACAATCGCCCTCACAATCCGAAGTGAACGCGAAACCTCTCTAATCCTCACTCATCTTTGTATCCATCTTCATCTCTATTATCTTGCCTTCCTTCTACCAATGCAACTCCTCTACTTGTTGGCTCTTCACTTTCTCTTCACTCTGTGTGCACTGATAACGATGGAATAGCATCAGAGGGTGACAGAATAAACAAACACAAAAACGATAATAAGAAAGATAATGTTTTGAATGCTTTAAAAATTACTAAGAGTGAAACAATTATAGATCCGAAGATTCCAATGAAGTATACCTAATGGAGTACACTCCATGTCATACTGAAAAAACAGCATCCACCTTACAGAGGATATTTCATTACACACAAAATTTCATGGAAAAAAGGTGATCACAAAATCAGAAAACGTAATATTAATCCAACTTTAAACACTTGAAGACTACAAAAAGTAGTAGTAGAGAATCAGAGAGACAAAAAAGCATCATCTGCCATAGGGCGTTTAAGATGAAGACAAAAAAGTTGACAATCAAACCCCTGACCGGCCATTGGATAATAGAAGCAAAAGGAATGAAGCCATAGCGGAACTCAAGGTTCGATTAGACGAAGGTGGAAAAACCTGAAGATAATGGGTAGTAGGGTCTTAGAAACTCATATGGACAAAACGTTTGTTCATAAGTCAAGTGAAAGCAAGGGTGTTTCAGTAACCTACATCAACGCGTGTAGTCTAAAGAACAGTCTTCATGAATTGGGGATACTATTTGAAAGGCAACAGCAATTAATGAAACCTGGTTATGAGTGAGTGTAGATCTCAATCCACACATACTGGGGAATACCTGCAACAAAGCACATAGTCTATGGTTGGAAAAGACGTAGGAATTAAGTTAACGGCTTCAGAAACACATGAAAGTGACATTAATGAAGCCACAAGTTCTTAATATATGTAGAAGTCCCGTACTTCGTACTGAAGCACCTGCAGCTTTGGGGTACTACGAATAGGTGTCTGATAGTACGAAACTTTAATGTCCCACATATTATTTTGGAGGGGACACACAAAATAGCTTGTAAAATGATTTCAAGAGGCAACTTACACTGACTCCCACTGAATGTGCAATTGTACAGCATGTACGTGAGCCAATACGATATAACCCTCAGGACGACTCTTCTATTATGGATACACCAGGAGCATGTAAGTGACGTTAGGTGCCTCCCATCAATGGATAGCAGTAAACACTCAATCACTACTTTTACGTTTAGGAATCATGACTTCATCTATTGGTTACTATCTCGTTCAAACATCTGAAAAGCAGATATTTCGGCAATCAGAAACGTAGCAGTCTTAACTGACTAGTCAGTTAACGAAAATCAGACTGACATTTTCCTCCCGGCCATTGTTCTTCAACTACTCTGAAGATAAACTATCGCATTTGACCACTTCCATGTGTATCTACCAATTCACCTGCTCTTGCGGAGCGAGGTATATAGGTCGTTCGATGCGTGTTTTATCTAAAAGAGTTCAAGAACACTATCCCGCCTGGCTACGGAAAGGTAACAACGGAGCAATAAGGAGCGCCATTATTGAGCATATACTCAACACTGGTCATTCGATTTGCAAGGAGAAGTCGTTCAAAGTCATCTATAAAGTCAAAAGAAGCCTTCCAAAATCGACAAGCTTCCGTATACTTTGTATTGCTGAAGCCTTAGCGATTTGGATGGAAAAGCCTGAGTTATGCACACAGAAGAAACTTCTCCACCCCCTCCTACTACCGTGGGTTTAATTCCAAGTTTATTTGTCATCAACATTTTGTTATCAAATTTTTTGCAATTTTCGTATAACAATTTTTAGTGACTAACCCATTCAATCTTTTCACCTATTATCTAGTTTATTTTCATAATTGTCTCCAAACTCCTTCACTAGCATCTAATCTTTCTAAACATGTCCATATTACGTAACCCTACTCACATCTTACCAATCTCCACCCCACTTAGTTACAACTTTGATTATTACTCACACATTTTAACTTCTTCATTATCTTGATGATATAATCAACAACCTACACTAACTGTTATTTTGATTTTGACAAACCTAATGTACACACACACACAAAATAATTGTATATATATTTGCGACTGTACAGCTAAGTGAATGAATTCGCCGAAAAGAGACTCTTCGCTGAACTAATTTGCTCTTATTCGAAAATCAGACTGTCGAAGAAACTTGGATGGAATTTAGAAATACATCAGAATGTATGACATCACTTGTTGTAGATTGGTCCATTGCAGAAACCTCCGTGAATGGATAATGAAATAAGAAATAAGGAGAAAACTCTTCTAGGATACGTTTACCGGAATAGAGAGGGAGGAGTTTCCGACAGACTATCGTAAAACCCAAGGCCTCTGTGGGTGTGCGATCAACAAAAGACATAGAGAATGTGAAAGACAATTGGTAATGGACTCCCCAAACTGTCCCAAAAGGCTATATTAATATATAAAATGTAAGACTAAATTAAGCAGTGATATACCAGTATTTATAAAGTGTAGGTGAGGCAGTCATATCAGACAGAATGAGGGCTGAAAACGTCTTTGATCTTTTCTTGTCGGACAGTAACACCCAGAAGTTACCCGAAGTCACTGCCACCACTACAAAAATAACCCGAATTATGACAAACAACACAGCATTCTAAACCAAAGCCGAATAAATCACCACCGTAGGATGGACTCCATTGTGGATCGATAGTCTCCTTAGTTGATATCATAGATTTACTGCCTGCCAAGATATTCGCCATGTCTCTAACTCAAGCTACGCTACTTAGTGATCAAAAGGATGCAGTTATAAGTTCTGTGTTCGAAGAGAGGGATGGGAAATCGGCATCAAATTATCGGCTTTTACGTCCGACATGCTTTATAAATGTCGTATAAAATCGTAGAGCATTAAGTGCTAGCTGATGCGGAGGAATACAGCCCTTCTGGGGAAGGAACACCTTGGATTCAGATCAGGCAGATTCTCCTTATAGAACTCACTATTAGCTAGGGAAGATTAAATTGAAGACAGGGTTAAAAACTCACCAGTGGATGTAGTTCCCATCAATATTTATTACTAAGGCATTCGATAAAGTTTCTCATTTAAATCTCCTCAGTAAAATAGAAGGAATCTAGCTAGATAACTGCTTATGTGATTGATTCAGGCACTGCCTACTGCATAGAAGAGGAAGGTCAAGAGTAAATAATGTAATCTCGGTATGGAAATCGGTATCGAGCAGAGTACCACAGGGTACTATTCCAGACCGCTTATCATTCTTACCACGCATAAACGAAAAGCTGAAAATTCCCAATTATTTTCACTATTTTCTGAGGATATTAAGATGTGGAGTACTGTAAATACTACTACAGGCCAGTCTTACAAGATGACTTACATAAATTAACTAATAGGTCCGGTTGCGGGAATTTGAAAGCTAATTCCGGAAAAATGGCGACCATGCACCTACGCTAGAGATCCTACACGTCATACTTTCTAGACAAAACAGAATTACCTAATGTCAAACAACAAAAGGATTCAAGAATTATTGTTAACCACGACCTGAAAACAGCTGCATATGGCAATACGGCTGCAACAAAAGTTTTTCAAGTACAGTAGGTAACTCGAGGAGCTCTTAAGCACTCAGATGAGTGTTTGTCACACTACTCAAAATAAATCAAATCTCATCTACAATACGGTGCAAAAGCTGCTAGTCCATGCTTTAAGGAGGAGGTACGGGTCTTGAAAGAAATATAGGTGTAAATAATAAGTTATAAAGTGGTATCTCACACCTTTCTTATAAGAAGAGGTTAAGACATCTACACCCCGTTCTATCATATCGATGAGGAGAGGCGATTTAATTTTGCCTCATTGAGCAGTAAAGGGTGATTCAAGTATGGAAGTTTCTAGACTTTTCTCTACTCACGGGATTTCTTAAAGAGGTTATCACAAAAAGATGCTAAAATTGCTATCGAACAGACTCCAGGTGGAATTCAGATTTCCACCAACTTAACCATCAGGTGTTATCAGCTCCACATGAGAGTGTTTTCAAAGCGAAATTGGATCTTCACAAACATACGAAGTGCAAAGGTTAACACATGCTACAAGAGCCTAGTATCGTTTGTCGTTTGAATCTATCCTAAAGCATTAACCATAAACTAATTTGCCCACTAGCTCACACATAAAAACAGGATCAAAGTCAACCAGTAAAAACCAGTACTCACTATTCTGACAGCTGCACCCTTTCCACGGTTTCTACTAAGGGATATGACACGGACAGTATCCGAACCTTCCATTTTAGAATACTTCTGAGCAATCTAAAAATGCAATCGTTTTATCACAAACAACCCACCTCTCTTGTATGGTCTTTACTGCCATCGTTTACAATAATAACTTCGAAAGTAAACGCCTTATTTAAATTCTTTACTACAATGCATTCAAAATCACAAAATTACTTTTCTTTTATTAAGGTAATCCAAAGTTTCAGCCAACATTGTAGGAACTAAAAATTATCTCTTTTATATAATTTGACTCACGTCTTTCGACTTCATTGTACGCCGGAATAATAACTGAAAGTTCTTTTTCAGGTCTTTCTGTAAGCCCGTATGGTAATTTGAAGCATTCCGAAGATTCTGGATCAAAGAAGTACTCTTCTTCGCTAGTCCGTGTTAGATTGGGATATGGATCTGTGGTGAGATACATAACGATTAGAAGCTAAAAATATCAGCTTTTAAATGTAAATAGCTTACAATAAATGTGATGATGACGATCGTTGTGACGATAGACATAATGCTCAAAACCCATAGCTCCAAGGTCATCTTAAGGATGCTTGAATAGTGCAGACATCAGCCTTGATAAACGTATTTCATAGTGACTAGTATGAACAAATAAAAAGATTCAGATGATAAACGGAAGTAGGCTGTTGTAGTTTGTTTTAATCATTGTAAATTCGGCAAAATGCAAGGATTAGGACAGGCTATAAAAGGTAACTACTTGCCGGTTGTTGCGAGTGGTTTTTTCTCCTACATGAATCTGTTGTAAGTTCAGATGTCTCGAACATCCACCAAACCCCCGGTGTCACGTTTTTAGTCTCATTTTCCTTACTCAAATAAACGAGACCTGCGGGCCGGCTTAATGATTGCCGTGAAGCTGAACAACCTAAGAGATCTAGGTAAATTCGCAACCTCTTTCTCATAAATTATCAGCTTTTTTTCTTATTCCCTTGACCAAAAATTCTGTTTTTATTTCTTTTTCTGTGAATTAGTGACAATCCATAACAAGTGATAATATAGCAGCCGAGTTAAGCCTTAAGGGGAGCATTATTACACCATATTCTGTTGTAAACAGGACTTTAGTTAGGTGAGGAAATAAACTAGAAGCATCGACGCTGCCTCACATACCGGCTCCTAAGACCCAGACGCATATCCTCGGCTTTGACAGTCTGCACAGTCCAGGGGCAAAACTGCACAGATCGAACATACTGAACGCTGTGACACATCCAGCCCCCAGTATGTAGCCAGTGTGTCACATATAACAAGAATAAAAACGAACGCTAAGAATTTAAATTAATTTCGAATTCCTTTTTTAGGAAACGCCATGAGTGCTATGTCTATAGTTCTGTTGTCTGTAAAATCGATCAGACATTCGACTGCAACTTTTGCATGCGATAAGTACACTGCCAACTTGACGAATGAGTGTCGAATCCATATTTTGAGTTTGTGCTAAATAAACCCATACTCATGGTCCTAGTACATGTGCCAACTTTATTCCTCTGCCACAGCCTTATGCAATCATCCTTAGGAAAACAAGTACAGCAAGCCTCCCAGACTAGCCTGAAACGGAGTCTGCTTGTAATCTTAATCAACAGAAATGGAAGGCAATTTAAGTCACATCTGGTAAACATTCTAATCTCACAGAACTCGCAGACACAGCGGTACAAGTAGCAGGAAACTCTGAAATCGCAAAAAAGGACCACTTGCGTTCGCTAGCGAGCATGATGCTAGCAGCTCAACACACAATAACACCCTAACTAAGGTTACCGGACTTAGAAATAAAGACTGGCGACCAAGGGCTAAACATTAGCGTTCCAACAGAGAAAATCACATCGCCAAAACTAATCAAAAGCCGAAAAACATGATACTCCAGCCCGACCGATTGACAGTATCAATCCAGACGACCACTTGCACCCGCTATTAAGCATGGCTTTGTGATACATAATAGTCACACCCTGATCCATTCCAGAGATACTGATGTAACAAGGGATGGAAAGCGGTTGAAGATTAAACCTAAACCCGAGGTCAGTTGACTGAACTGCCTAATTCTGTTTAACGTACCGGTGTGCAGCAAAAGTTAACTTGAACAAAGAGTAATGTTTAATGGCTGATAGTGGTCTTCAATTTGCAGCAAATCAGGGCTTGATATCAAGTCAGTAAAGAAATACAGACTACACAGGGGTATTTAAGTACTTCAAGTTAAGCTATCCGGATTATGGGTAACACTGAGCTCTGATGAAGATGTTCAGAACGTGTTTGTACTATCCGAATCAATAGCAAAGAAGAGAAACTCCAGCACGCGAGTAAGATCTCGTAGGCCAGTGGTCGATAGACGAATCACGACAGAGTCACCAGAAGTGATGCTCTCTGTCTTCGAGGCTACACTCAGTGTTCCATACCTGGAGACTGGCGCTATTTTAGAAAAAAGCAAGCAGTGACGAAGGTGGTTGTCATGTTGGTCTTCCTGGGGCAACCCCGATTTGCAGACAACCTCATCTCACTCGCCTTGCATCAGTAAGTCCACCATGGATACTAGCTGTCGAACTCAGCCCCCAGGAGCAATTGGCTGTACTGGCCCAACCGAGGTTAATGTTGGCGGGCATATCCGATGCTAGGTAAGCCGGGAATCGCAAGAATGGGGGTAGTCAGCAAGAGGCCGAGGTGCATCGCAGCAACGGGCCCACCACTCACTGAGTTCCTGGAAACTTTATGGCGCCACTTCGCCTTTAGACCACATCATGAGCTATTGGACGGCAACTACAGACCACGCACCTATGGAGGAGAACACAACCAGCAGGTAACCGGCGTCACCACAGGGATATGTGACTTGAGGTATAACCGGATCACTTTAGCTGTAGAATTTGATACACCATTCCTTGACCTCAGTTCGAGGCATTCGCAATGCAAATTCAATTGGAATCTGCTACCACCATAAGAAACTGAGGATGAACTGAGAACGTTGGGGAAACCACTAGGTGTGTTCCTGGTGGAAAGTCATCCAATCTGGTTAATATTCCAATTAGTGACCAGTTATTAGTCGAAAACGTCCAAATCATAACACTCCCAGATAGCAGCGACCACGTAGTCACAGTGTTTCACCTCATGCTTTGTGAGCGTCTACGCGACCTTGTATGTGCTAAAGCAAAGCTGACCACACGTATATAAGAAGAATTTTATCTGACGCAGGAAGGGCTCACCGACAGGGATGGGTGATCTTTGGAGGAACATTGGAAAACGGTAAAAGGATTATTGACAAAACAAAAGGTGCCAGTCACACATATATCCCTACCTTGCCTAATCAACTAGCTCGCTAGTTTTCTAGCCAGTCCCAAACCCTGGTAAAGAGGAAGAGGTGGGCGTAGGGCTTGCGGTCTTACACCACTAAACCTATCAAACCTCTACAGAAACCTCAACGCAAAATATATATTAAAAATACAAAAAATTCAATGAACGATCTTATTGTTCGCTGGAATCGGATGGTAGGCTGGTGAAAGCCTTCGAGAAGCCAGTCAACCACTCGATGAGAGCAAAAATGAGATCGGGGATTTGGAATGTCCGTGCAATATAAAAGACTCGAAAGGCTGCCCAGGTAGCCAAAGAAATGTGAATATTTAGCACAGAAGTGCTGGAAATCTTTGAGAGCAGATCGAACGGATATGGATTATCAAAACTGCCAACTGTACAGTCAGTAATCTTCTCGTCTGGTCACCCAGAAGACAACCACGAGCACACTGAGGCAGTGAGTGGCTATCGTGGTGTCACCAGTGACAGCGGAAGTGTCAGTCTGTCAAACGAACGCTAATGCCCTTCATCAAAATTTTCTTTTGTAAATTAACGAAATGTTTAATATACTCTTGATTTCTACTTCTTCTGGACTTCTTCAGTGCGTCGCTATACTATGTGAATTCGGATTAATGCATGTTAAGCTTAATTAGTGGGATGGAGAACTACTATTGTGTTATGAGACTGTTACTTTTGTCATTTATAGGATTTCGCGTCTGTTTCTATACAATAGCATATTGCAAAAACTAAATAGGATTTAGCAAGTTGAATAATAACTCTGTATTGTTCAGTACTCTAAAGTCGCTTTATTTAGCCAGATGCAAGTCTATATACCGTCAAACTCCAAGTCTTTATTACAAGTAAATGTAGTAACTTAGGGTTAATAGCCACTTCATTAATCTGTTAATATGTAGTGACATTATTTATTTCTAATATGCCGTTGAATCATGTGATGCTATATAGCATCCATCATTATTACGATCAACAACTGGAGTATTTGCATATCTGCTTTATGGATATTAAATAACTTACGCCTTTGTGCATCTAATTCCAACCAGTATTACAACAGTGTTCCCTATTCATTTAATGTGTATACACTAAATAGGTCTTTCATACATTATCCCAAAAATGTCGGGCTTTCTATAATAATAATAATATATTTCGTATAAACGCGTAAGCTTACATGAAATGCGTGCCATTTTTACAGGCACGATCAATTATGCTACAAATTACAATTGTGAATTAGCATAGATTATCACTTTTTCAGAAGTTCAAATTGTTGAATTATAGTACAAGTAATCGCAACAGATCCTTTTAAACATTAATTTGTAAATCTTTCACGAAGGTCACCACCGAAGTTGAGCGACAACCAAAACTTCGTTCCATTTCCTGATGAAAGTTATGGCCGATCGATAAACAACATATATGTGAGTGAGTACTGTGACCCCCTATGTTATCCTTTCATGGACATAACTAATGAATCTTTTCAGAAATGTCGCACCAGCCGTTTGAAAGAGTATTAAAATTTTACCTACACCTAATCCATCTACTGGAACATGTATTAAATTTAGAAATATTGCTGTTACCTCTCCCTTTCTAAAAACTATGAAAAAGTTACTAGTACTTAGTCTTCAACCTTCACTTAAAGCCTTTAACTATCTCAAGCAGTTTGCCTATAAACATACTAGAAGTACTTTAGATGTAGCTGCAGTCTTGCGTCATAACATTTTCTCCAGTTTGGACAAAGGAGCCAAATTTGTTTGCTGCACCTCTCTAGATTTCCCATCTGTTTTAGACTCAGTACCTAGGTATATTTCGTTAAATTGTGGTGAGAGCTGGCTGCTAGCCAAATTGGTAGACAGTAATTTACGTCAATGTTTATGTCCCAAATATTGGTTGTGATAAAAATAGGAACAAAGACTTTGCGTAGGCGGATACAGTTACCATGTAGATGATCTGACATACAAGAAACAGCCACAAAGAGATGAGATGTTAACTTTCAGTGAGAAACAACCAATCAGAAGACTGTTTTTCTGCTAACAATAATCTATAATATGTACATGAAAATCGATAAATATGTGTTGATTTTCCTTAATAAACGATCTGCTGCCTGGCCCTTGTCTTCTGTTATTACAAATAAGTTTGCTGAAACTCAAACTGAGTGTTGAGTTGGCAAATGGCCACATTCTTATTTCTCAGGAAGAAAGCAGTACACTGTATGCCACGTGCAGACATAATGTTTATGAGCCAGGTATGCAAATCATAGTAAACGCTTGTACGGTACATTCATTACATACAAAATAACTACTATGC